CTTTCAACTCCTTCAGAATCAAATTCTTGATTTGCTTGTATGTTAAGATTTTAGACTAAGACCATTGCCTTTTTTTTCCTTAGTATCCTGCAGAAATAAGAAAATATGATTATGATCCCAGTTTTGCAATAAGAGGACTTCATTATGATGTACACCGGGTATGTATAAATAACTTTGTGATGAGTTCTGTAGTGCTGAAAACTTAGCCAAAGAAATAAGTTGTCTTTTTCCTCCCCCCACGAATAATGCAACTTTAGAGTGCAAAAGAATAAATCTAAGCAGGCCACTGTTATTAGAAAAGGATATTTCTTCATGGCTAATCTCAGATCATTGGACAGTGCATTTTCTTAGTGATTAGTAAGCCCTGGATAAAAGCTATTAATAAAATAACTGTGAAAGCTGTGAAAGAAGTGGAGTTAAAGATGATCAGCCAATCTGGATCCAGAAATATATGTTTTTGAATTATTTAATGTCAAATAACTGACATGAAAGCTGTCTTTTTTTTTTCTTCTTCCCTCTCTCCTCCCAGGCTTTATTAATGAAAATTGATGCTTTTCATTATATTCAGCTGGGAACAGTCTACAGGTAGGTAAAATTATTGCCTATTTATAATGCAAACGTACACCCTTACACAGTCTTTTTTTTTTGTCTCCTGGTTGCTTTTATTACTGTACATTTTAGGTTTGCATTAGAAACCAGACTGAGAAGCATAGACAGGAGTGAACATTGCGGTCTTACTGGAAGGGGTGTCTTTGCACTGCTGTGTACCTGCACACTCACACATCTAGTGACAGATACAGGAGAGCTGGTGCCCCAGGCCAGAGCTGGCGAAGATGGCAAGCTGGAGGTCACATAGTGCTGACTTGTTTTGTTTCTGGATGTTAAATTGTGCTGGAAGACATCTAAAAATACCCTGATGACTTCTCTGCTCTTGTTTTCTAAGTAAACAATTGTCACAGGGCTCCCGTTAGCGTAACTACTGTTCTTGCACAGATACCTCCCGTCCTCAGTCCCTAAAGGACTCTTCCCAACTAGAGTAATGAATACAAAGTAATTGCCCATGAAAACTTGTCTATGAGGATATAAAAAAATTAACTCTTACAGGATAGTCTTTATTTTAAAAGTGCAAATCTGGAGCAGGCTCTGTGCTAGCACTTTACTGAGCAAATTTTCAAATCAGGATGTTCCTGGGTGTGTAGGGTGAATGGTATAGTCCCATAACTGTCTTTGGAGCTGAGCAACTTAAGAGGCAACTAGGTCAGTCTGGCGTATTGGAAAAATGTCAAATTGTTAGAATAAAGGTTAACCAAAGTAACCAGAGATGTGTTTATGAGTAGAGGCTTGTAATGGAAATGCTATGATAGTATGAGTAAAGAGTGAATGGAGAGGTGTAGGTGTGAAAGCACAGGAAGAAATGATAGAAAAAGGAATAAAAGATTGGCAGCTAAAGGCAGCACCTGGGGCATCAAGATAAGAGCACATCTACCTACTGCTTGTCCAGATAGCCCTGGAGGGGGAGCAGGAGGAATGCCTTGGGAGGAGATGGCAGGTGCAGCAATGGTGGGAATGGAGCTGGAGCACAGCCCCGTGGACGGGCAGTAGGTGAGCGGTGCTGTTGGCTTGGGACTGGCAGAGTGGGGCAAGGTGAAGAGGCAGAAGGTGCCAGTCACTGTCAGCGCGTGGTGCAGGCCCATCCAAAGCCAGCATGTGGCAAGCAGTCAAGAAGGCTTTGGAAGAGGTGCTGAAACTCGCTGGGTAGTTGTTGCCGCTTGTCCTCGACGTCTCCCAAAGTGATCCTGGACAGGCTGCTTGCTCAGGCGTCTTGGTGCTTGGCAGCGTGAGAGAGAAAGAGAGAGAAACCACCATTTCACTCGTACACTTTCTCCATCTGGCTTAAAGCAGATCCCCTTTCCCTCTGAACCTAATGCTGAGCTTAGCTACATTAGTTGGAGCATATCTCTAGTTCTCAGTTTTAGCCTTGCACCTCCTGTGTATGTTGATTGTACTGAAAGTAGCAAGAAAAACTTGCCTAACGACATCTATCGATGCTTTGAATGGGATAAAATAAGGTTTGTGTTTATACAGCTGGACTGTGAACTGTAAAAAAGACATTGGGTCTTTTGGCAAAGCTCATCTTCAGCTTTGTATACACAGTCTTCCTTGTTCTCTGTCTTTCACAATTGTCTGTTGTCCTCTGCTGATTTGTGCTTGAACAACTCCTCATCTACAAGAGTTTTCTCTGTTAGTATTCAAACTCCACTTGGCCAAGCCGTCTGCGGGCTAGAACATGAGTCAGGCCTCCTCTATTCTGTCTGTATTTCTTGGTATACATTTAATGTTTTGGTAACATTTCTCTTTGTTTCCTGCTGCAAAGTGGGTGACATTGAATAGTTGTGTGTGTTGTTGCTGATTTTTTTTTAATATAGAGAGATATTTTGTTTGCAAGACTTGTGGATGGGGTGTCCTATGTACAGTAGCACAGAGCTATGTACAAGTCAATATAGCGCTGAGATAAAAAGAGTAAAATAGCAACTCTGCTATTCTAGCAGTTCTAGGGAAGCTTGTGTATTATGCCCTTGCGCTGCAAAGAGAGCATAAGCTCTTATCACTTTAAGAACTGGGTTTATTCATTTGTCTTTTAAAATGCATCGTCTTTACGCAAGAAAGGACTGCAAAAAATGTCAAGCAGCCTCGGGAAAGGGAATTGGATATCTGTTCTTCATTTATGTTCTTAATTTTTAAGCAAAGCATCGCCCCCTCCACCCTACTTCTGGGTCCTCTGATGAGGGTTACTGTCTGCAGTATTTTAGATGCTTCAGTACAAGATGCCTGATACTGTAAATAATGATTAAAAAAGAAGTCCTGAAACGAAAGACATTATTCTCATATTAGCTAATATAAGAATAGTTAATAACAGAATATCTGTGGACAGATGATGTCTCTCCTTGTACTCCATCAGTTGTTAAACTTTTATATTTTAAGTGCTTGTCAGCAATCCTTCACATAATCTAAAATTTTGGGGAGTTGAGCTGTTGATAGGTTTTAGAAGAAATTCTTGTTTACATAGAGGCCGTGTGTGTTTTCGTTTTTTTTTTTCCCCTTAGCTTTTCAAGGTCATGCTGCAGAATAATCTGGTTTAAACACTATCACATCATCTATGCTTTATGAAACAAAGGCAGAGTGGGGAATTACTTTGTGTTAAGAAGCTGGAAGCTCTAACTGCTTATAAACCCTTGAGGCAGAGTTTCAATGGAGACTAATTAGTTTTTTTTTTTTTTTTCCTTAAGAAAGGAAAAAGAATTTAAAATCGGAATGTGTTCCCTGTGCGTCAGCTTGTTAAAGTGTTGTCTTGTAAGTAAAGGCACTGTCTTAACTTACACACCAAAGTGTTCTAAGATATTATTGGTATTTTAAGAAGCACAAATTCAAGTGTTATGCAGTCAGGCTTCTGTTCAATAATTACTTGGAAATTTTGATATGACTTTTGAACTAAAGCTAATGTTGCTTGCCAGAGGCCTCAGCGTTGTCCCAGATGAAGAAGTCATTGCGATGTATGATGGTTCCCACGTCCCCTTGGAACAAATGAGTGACTTTTATGGAAAGGTAAAAACACAAACTACTCTTAAAAAAAACTGCAGAGAAGGCTTGATTTTTATTTTTTTGACTCACATTTTAATCTTGCTCCTACTAACGGGTATATTTTGTCAGTATGCAATTGACTTATGGTGTTAGGTAGTGTTTGATCCTTCTCCCTTTTATTCCTTTTTACTATGCAGGGAGAGATCCTTCATTCTGTTGTGCATGTCCTTGCTCTTACTCTAAAGAAATAAAATTAGAATTCCCAAATCTGGTCTCTCTAGCAGCTGAAGTTGTCCAGGACGTGTCTGGCAATTGTCATGGGGTGCTTTGGTCTCCAAGGAGCTATTCTTTCCTTGATCTTAACCAGTATACAGTCTTGAGGAAAGATGTCTAGTTGTTCTCTGTGTATGTAGTCCCCCTCTTCTTCAAGCACTTGGTTTATGTTTATTCCTGTACAGTGAGCTCAGCCTTATTTTTGTGAAAATTAACTGTAGCTACACCTTTGTCAGACTGTAAATCTTTTCTTTCATT